CTCGGTCACCACCACCGTAGCCATGAGCAGTGGGGCCGAGACCCAGCAGCACTGCCAACACCAAGCCTGGCACCATGGGCAGCGGTGGTGCAGGGAGCAGTGGCCCGGGCGGCCTCACATCCACAGTGCCTGCTGTGGGGACAAGAAGGTCATCACAAGGAAGGTCTTGAGAACAGAATGGTAAAATGGTTCAATGTAAGAAATGGCTATGGTTTCATCAACAGGAGTGACACCAAGGAAGATGTATTTGTGCACCAGACTGCCATAAAGAAGAGCAACCCCAGGAAGTGCCTTCACAGGGTAGCAGATGAAGAGACTGTGGAGCCTGATGTTGAAGGAGAAAAGGGTGTGGAGGCAGCAATCGTTACAGGCCCTGGGGGAGTCCCAGTTCAAGGCAGTAAATATGCATTATAGACGCTATCCACGTCGTCGGGGTCCTCCACGCAATTACCAGCAAAATGACCAGAATGATGAGTGGGGAACAGAACGAGGAATCGGAGAGCACTCCCGAAGGCCAGGCCCAACAACACCGGTCCTACCGCAGGTGAAGGTTCCCCCTTACTACATGCGGAGACCCTATGAGCGTCAATCACAGTATTCCAACCCCGTGCAGGGAGAACTGATGGGGGGTGCTGACAACCAGGGTGCAGGAGAACAAGGCAGACCAGGGAGGCAGAATATGTATCGGAGTTATAGACCACGATTCACAGGGGCCCTCCTCGCCAAAGACAGCCCAGAGAGGACGGCAATGAAGAGGATAAGGAAAATCAAGGCAATGAGACCCAAGGCCAGCAGCCACCTCAACGTTGGTTTCGACGCAACTTCAACTACCGATGAAGAAGCCCAGAGAACCCTAAACCACAAGATGGCAGAGAGACAAAAACAGCAATCCACCAGCTGATCCACCAGCTGAGAATCCCTCCACTCCGAGGCTGAGCAGGGCGGGGCTGAGTAAATGTTGGCTTGCCATCTCTACCATCATCCGGTTTAGTCATCCTACAAAAAGTGGATACGAAATTCCAGTAATGAGAAATCAACAAAAGATTAGAGCTGAAGACCTTCAGTGCTTGCTTTTTGCCTGTTGACCAGATAACTAGAACTATCTGCATTATCTATGCAACATGGGGTTTTTATTATCTTTACCTAAAGATGTCTCTTTTTGGTAATGACAAACGTGTTTTGTTTTGTTTTGTTTTTAAAAAGCCTGGTTTTTCTCAATACCCCTTTAAAGGTTTTTAAATTCTTTCATATCTGGTCAAGTTGAGGTTTTTAAGAACTTCATTTTTAATTTGTAATAGAAGTTTACAACTTGATTTTTTTCAAAAAAGTCAACAAACTGCAAGCACCTGTTAATAAAGGTCTTAAATAATAATAATAATAAAAAAGAAAGAAATCCTAAATGCCAAAACTTGAGCTCTTTTGTTCCCTGGATTCTGTAGCATCCTATTTTCCTCAAAATATAAAAACCAGAACTGCCATATAAGCTAGCAATCCCAATACTAAGCATATATCAAAAAGTAAATTTTTTTAAAGAGGAAGTCAGTATGTCATAGAGATATCTACACCCATTGTTTATCGCAGCACTATTCACAATAGCCAAGACTGGAATCGACCTGTGTCCAAAGATGAATGGATATGAAAATGTGTGTGTACACACACACACACACACACAGAGGAGTACTATTTGGTCATTAAGAAGAGTAAACTTCTATCATCTGAGATAGAATGGGGAAGCCTGGAAGACATTAAATTAAGTAAAGTGAGCCAGGTACAGAAAGAGACATGCCACATGTTCTCACTCACATCACATACAGAATTTGAAAAAAAAGAAAAAAATCTCATAGAAGTAGAATTAAGGGACCAGCAGGTGACATAGTGGTTAAGGTACTAGACTCTCACAAGGTCCAACACGGTTCAAGTCCTCTGCTTGGCAACTTGTGCGTGTGTGTGTGTGCCCAAAATCCCAGGAGGAGAATGTAAGAGAAGAGATTGCAGAGTGGCCATCCCCTGGGGGTGATTTCTCACTTTCCCTCTCACTATCTCTCTCTGATGAGCATATATGCCCTATGAGAACAAAACTTAAAAAAAAAAATAAGAGAAATACAGAATTAAGAATGATGACCATAGTGACCAGCAGTGGTGTAACGGCTATGTCACTGGACTCCCATGTAGTCGACCGCAGTTTGTATCCTGGACCTGGTGGCTTAAACTCACACCTGGTGCGTGTGTGCCTGTGCCCAAGATCCTGAGAGGAGAATGGAGGAGAAGGGATCACAGCGTGGCCATCCCCCCAGGGGGTGATTTCTTGCTTTCTGTCTCTCTGTCTCTCTCTGTCTTTCTGGTGAGTGCATGTGCCCTATAGCAAAAACCTCTGCCCCCCCTCCTCCCAAAAGAATAACAACTATAGGCAGAAAAGGAGAGCGATATTGATTAATACGAAGAAAACTATAGCTATATAAGAGAAATAATTTCTAGTGATATAAAATACAGTAGGGTGAAGACAGTTCATAGAAATGTACTGAATAGTTCAGAGTAATTAAAAAAAGAGGATTTTGAGTGTTCCCGAAACAAAGAGAAGGGGTATCCTAACTGCCCGGATAAGAGCATCGTACATCGGTACCCCTACAAATATGTACACTTATTACATGTCAATTAAAAGAGGAAAGTAGATCTGTTGATCAGCTACCTTTCGTTTTTACAAAAATGTTTACATTATGGGAAACTTCGAATATACATAAAAGTAGACAGAACAGGCCCATGATTATTTGTGGGCCCATGGCCAATCTGGCTTTGTCCATTCCTCCTGGTATATTTCGGCAGTCATGTAATTTCATCTATAAATATCATTAACTAAAAGAACCAAGAATGTTTTCTTAAAATGCAGTGCCATTAGCACAACTTCTTTAAACACAGATTCCTTAATATCATCAAATTAGCTCAAAGCCAGTCAATGTTCACATTTTCAACCGCATCCATTTTGACACCTTATGGTTGGGGGTCCTAAAGGCCACGGGAGAGCAAGGTACTTCCAAAATTGTTTTAGGAAACAGCCCGAGGCTCTCCGGAAAAATAAATTCGGTCCATCTGAGACAGGAATGTGATAGCCAAACTCACCGCAGCTTTTGCAAAGAACTCCAAAAAGACGACCATGTGCCAAATAACCATGGAGACCGGGTGACAGAAGGAACCGGTTTCTGCGCTCCCGCGTTTGGGCAGAGCAGTCAGGAGGCTGCTGAGCGCGGCGGGAGCCAGCGGGCCATGCCTGAGGCTGCACACACCTGACCGCGCCAGGCAGCCCCGCAGCCTTAATGAGCGCGGGTCCACAGTCTAACCGGGATTAGCACGTGGGCGCCTGCGGGGAGCCCGGCTGACAGCAGCGCTTGAAGAATGGGAATCACCAGACTATTCTTGTTAGTTTCTTCTAAAGGGTCAGCAGGCAGTTTTGAGCTGACTCCAGCAGAGAACTCACCTGAGATATTTTTTAAATTAGTAGCGGTATTATTTCATCGGGTTCCAGTGCTGGTCATTCACATGATGAGCTTTGTGATATTATTAACCCAAGGGCAGTTCCAAGCCTGGACCCTTGACGTGACTGCAGTCTTCGATTTGTGATCTAGAACGGCTTACCTTATACACATCGAGATGCCAATAAGCCAAGAATGGAGTGATTCTAAATATTATTTTTAAGAATACATGCTCAGAAATGTTCTCAAGGCAGGTGCTCCTGGTACTCGGCCCCACCCCCTAGCACAACCGCACCTGCGCCTCTGCCCCAGGCCTTCTCAGGGCTGCAGGAGGGCAGCAGCCTACACCGGTGGTCAGCCCCTCAGAGGACCCCTCTACTAGAGAGGGACCTGAGATGGGGGCATAACCCCTTGGTGGGGTGTTGCAGAGCACTCTCTCCCCCCAGAGGTTCCAAACAGATGGAGACTCCAGCTGTCTGCAGGGCTACCCTATCCTTGCCTCAGGTCCCACTTCCCCCTCAGTGTTTTCCAGAATTAGCTCCATTGAAGGGAACTCCTAGCCCCAGGTCACCCAGGACTGGTGGTCACCTACCTCCCACGTAAGCCCCCCACAACCACTTAAATCCTGCTAGTCTCAGGGCCTGCTCCTAGGGACCTTGACCTAAGGCAATATACAGGCAGTGAAGAGTCTGGAATGAGACAGGCACCTCAATGTGGCTATGCTTTGTGAACAGAGACCTCTGGAGTTGGACGGTGCTGGGCTCCGTGTGTATGGGCAGTGGGAAAGATGATGGACTGTTTCATTAAATCTATATTCAGTTTTATTTCCAGTGCCAGAGGGTGTGTGCATGTGCAAGAGAGAGCGAGCAAAAGTACCACTCAACAAGGCCTATTCACACCGCCATCCTTTTTCCTCCAATCCTCCACCCCGTCAGGATCCCAGGGGCATGCGCCCACCCTATGTGAATTTTTCAAGCCAATGGAGCTGGGTCTGGAATCCTGATCAGCCACATGGGAACTGGCTTCCTTTGTGCAGCCCCTAACTGTTAGACTTCAGAACCAGCCTAATTTATCTTTTTAAGGTTTGTTATTTCTTCCATGAACAAGAGAGATGGTCAATGCCAACAGGGTCCATCCCCAGCTTTCGGATCACAGGCACATGTGAACCCAGTGAATTCAAGGGGTTCTCTGGATTTGAACCAAGAACTTTCATTGGATATCATTAGAAAAAGAATATATATCATTTGTCTCTTTTTTTTTTTTTGAGAGAGAGATTTTTGCTATAGGGTGTGTATGCTTGCCAGAGAGATAGAGAGAGACAGAGAAACAGAAAGCAAGAAATAACCTCCACCCACCAAGGGGGGATGGCCATGCTGCAACCCCTTCTCCTCCATTCTCCTCTTGGGAATTTGGGCATGCACACACATGTGCCTGGTGTGAGTTTTAAAGCCGCCAGGTCCAGGACTCGAACTACAGTCAACTATGTGGTATTCCAGTTGATGTAACCATTACACCATCTGCTGGCCCCTCATTTGTCTTTTTAAAAATATACAACAAACATGTAGGTCTTTTTAAAAAATTAGCAAATGTTTGTTTTTTTTAATTTTTGAAGTAATTTAATTTAAATTTAAAAAAAAAAAAAGGAAAGAAACTAGGCTTGAAAATGTTTAACTGATGACTTGGGGCAAAGGTTTTCATACTTTCTGAACCTCTGAATTCTGTTGCAGTAGAATCCTACGTGGCCCTGCAGTTACAAGCAGATACAAGTGGAACTGCTGGGCAGAAAACAGAGCACCTTCTATTTGGCCTCCAGGTACAGTCCCTCAACCTCTTCCCCACCCCCAGGTAACTGCCAGGCACTTCCAAGGAACTCTGAGGTTTTCATCCAACCGCTGTGAAAACCACTAAAGGTTTATTTAATAGCATAAAGAATACTAACCTTTTTACTTCAAAACGTCTTATTTAATGATAAGAGCGGGTCAAAAACAGCATTACAACACTAGCTTGATTTTTGTGGGGGGGGAAAAAAGACTCTATTTATGTACCTAGAAAAAACTGAAAGGAAATATTCCAAAAATATCAATAGTGGACCAGCAGGTGGTGTGGAGGTTAAGGCAACTGGTTATTACTTATGACTGTCGACTAATCGGTTCAAGTCTGGGATCTGGAGGTTTAAAAAACACACCAGGCTTGTGTGTGTGCAAGCCCCAAATCCCAGCAGGTGGAGAAGGGATTGTGGCGTGTCCGTCCCCCTGGAAATGATTTCTCACTTTCTCTTTATGGTGAGCACATGCGCCCTGTAGCAACAAATAGAACTCATAGTGATAATCTCAGGAGGGCTGGGTCATTCTTTTTAGTTTCTGTGTTACACATACACATTACTTCCATTTTCTATGAATAATATATTTTTGTTAATGTACAATGAATAAGGAAACTAAGGAGGAAAAGAGTTAAAAAAAAAAAAAAAAAAAAGGTTCTGAAGTGCAAACAACAGCAGCATCCAGGCTAGATATTCACGGTTCTTAAATAGAGAGCTGAGGAGCCGGGCCTCTCTCAGGTGTCGAGGACTCAGGCACTGAAAACATCATAACTCAAGTTACTGCCTGTCAGTTCCAGGCTCAGCAAAGTCTTTGAAGTTTCTGATAATGCTGTATGAGCACTGCCTATCAAGTAAGCAAAAGAAGGGGTAACTCTTCCCAGACCCGTCGTGGTGCAGTGGGTGCAGGGTGTGAAAAAGCACCTCCCACAAATGTGAGTGCAGTCAGTTTGAGCTCATGTCCAAGGAGCCTTTGAAGGGAGACTGGAGGGTTGCCAAACCCGAGGCTATCGCAGAGAATTACAGTGTTTAAGTCTGTGGCTCCCCGACCTGGCCGCCCATCAGAATCACCTGAGAGCTCACTAAAACTGGGTCCCCAACCCCACCTACTGACCCACAGATTCAGGTGTTCTGGGTACTTCGAATGTACATTTTAAACAAACATACCGGGGGATTCTCATGCCTCGTGTCCTTGAAGTTTATCATCACCGCTAGGTTGAGCATTCTAGGAAACAGGTTGGTCTTATTTGTGCCTGTGACTGTATGCACAGCCCTGGATACTCTACAACTATTGCAGATTCACCCTGGGCAAGACATTTTGCTAAGTAGTTTCAAGTCCATTCACTTTATTTTCTTTTTTAAAATAATTATTTAATTTTACTTGGTTGTTGTTATTACTATTATTTTAATTTGACCAGAGAGAGAGAAAGAAAACAAGCTGCCAGGTCTGGGACTCAAACCGTGGTCTGCCATGTGAGAGTCCAGCACCTTAACTACCATGCCACCTGCCAGCCCCAAATCCATTCACTTTAATGACAGCTCAGAAAGTGGTAGTCTAATAACCCATGTTGGTTCCTTTATTTTTCATTGCCAGTGAATGCATGAGCTCACCAAACAGAGAGAGAGTGAGAGAGAGGGAGCAAGCACTACCCGGTAGGGCATAGTTGCCTGCAATCTTTTTTCCTCTATATCTTCTTCCATTCAGGAGTCTGGGCATGCGTGTACATGTGTCTGGCAATTTTCTCAAGCCGCCAGGAATTCACACTATAGTAGGCCATGTGGGATTCTGCCCTGATAACCCATTTGGTAGATGGTGACTCTGACTCAGGGAAGTTAAGAAACTATTCCAAAGTTGGGGGCAACAGGTGGAATGGAGATTAAGGCACTGGATTCACACATGGCTAACCACAGTTCAAGTTCCAGACCCAAGGCCTCAAAAATCACACTGGACACATGTGTGGGCCTGTCCAAAATCCCAAGTGGATAATGGAGGAGAAAGGATTGTGGCATGGACCTGATTTTTGCTATAAGGCACATGCATTTGCTGGAGAGATGGAGAAAGACAGAAACAGAAAGTGAGAAATCACCCCCCGGGGGTATGGCCATGCCACAATCCCTTCTCCTCCATTCTCCTTTAGGGATCTTGGGCACACATGCACATGCCCCCGGGGTGAATTTAAGCTACCAGGTCTGGGACTTGAACTGCAGTCGATTACATGGGAGTCCAGCAACATAACCATTATGCCAACTGCTGGTCCCAATGCACACACTTTCTAAGTCTGACCCACATCTAAAACAGCACCAGGTTTAGTTGCACAATTTCCTGACTTCTTGACATAGCACATCTTTCCTAAGCTACAGAAACGACTTAGCTATTCTTCGATTCAGCTGTAACTCTCTCATTTATTTGAAAAGCATTCTTGCAAACTAACCTAAACAATTTGGCTGTTGGAACTACAGTCATCCCTTGGTATCTAACAGGGATGCGTTCCAGGAACCCCTCGGATATTGAAGTTGATGAATGCTAAGTCCTCTGTAAAACGGCTTAATATTGGCCATCCAGGAAGGATGGCCATGCTGCAATCCCTTCTCCTCCATTCTCCTCTTGGGATCTTGGGCACACATGCACACACTTCCGGCGTGAGTTTAAGCCACCAAGTCCGGCACTCAAACCGTGGTCGACTACATGGGAGTCCAGTGACATAGCCATTACACCAACTGCTGGTCCCTGTTTTTTAAAATTTTTAATTTCTATTATTTTTAATGTTTCCATTCACAGCTGGTTGAATCTGAGGATGTAGAACCAGCGGATATGAAGATCCACCTGTGTATGGTGTCTGATGGTGTCTGATGGTGTCTTTCCATCTTCCAATAATTAGGAGTTCATTGAGGCTACAGGTTTCCTCCTCTGACCTTCCAACCAGATGGTATTTTGCAGAAAGAGTCCATCTCAGATCAAATTCCTCTATACTAGAAAATAGAA